TGTGTGTGTGTGTGTGTGTGTGTGTGTGTGTGTGTGTGTGTGTGTGTTTTGCTTGTCATTGTTTGAGACAGTCTCTCTACATACCCTTGACTGTCCTGGAACTCACTCTGTAGAACAGGCTAGCCTCAAAATCAGAGATAGCCTCTGCCTTCTGAGTGCTGGGATTAAAAGCCTGTTTTAAACACTCATCTTGTTTTGTGTTATTTTGGGGATAGTTTTGCCAGGTAGCTCAGGCTAGCCTCTAACTAGACATCTTTCTTACTACAGCCTCCTGAATGCTGGGACTACAGACATGAGCCACTACACCCAGCTCAGGTGATTACTAAAGTTTGTGAATTTCATTTTAGTATATACATGTGGAAAGAATACTCTGTGTGAAATTGTTTTAGCACTAAGCTTTACTGTCAGCTGACAGTCCCAGGGGTAACTCATTCACCCCGTATTCCTCTGGAAGCACAGAATGTTGGGATGTGTTGGCTTCAAACATCCTCCCTTTGGTGTACAAACCAGGATAGAGACATCTGCCCTCTGCCAACTCAGGTGACAACACCAGCACATGTAAGACCAGTCCTAGCTCTTCCTAGTTCTTCTCCCAACCTTGAGCACAGCCACAGTTAGAGGCTCAAGGTCTGAATGTGCTTTTAGAGAAAAGTCATGGGATCTGGGTTGGATTTAGACATGGAAGAACGGTTCCTATTGACACTAAGGATTAATGGTAACAGCCGCCATACTTCCTGTTAGGGGAAAGACAGGGAAGAAAAGACAGACTTTCTAGGGTGTATCTATGCAACTCTGCTGGAGAGCTTCCCCACCCTGACCGAAAACAGTGTGTGTCTAGGGGAGTGTATGGTTTTTCACGGTTCATGGAAGCAGACGGTAAGACATGCCCTCTAGGTCTAGCGTGGGGAGGGGTGCTAGGCCAGGGGTACCATCTCCCTCCTCTTTAGGCAGCTCTTTGGTCTCTTTTTTGAAAGAATACCACTTGGCTACCAACATCCTCCAGTTGCTCTTGTGAAAAGAACACGGCCAATGCTTTGGTGCCTCCCCTGAGGCTTCTCCTTCATCTCCCTAGGTATTACGTACCTAGTGATTCCTAGGGAGCTACAGCCACAAGCCTTGGGGAATAGAGGTTTGGACTGATAGAACCTTGTGGAGAATAAGGCAATCAGGATAAGACATTGTCTGAAAGACTCTTCAGAAGAGTCTGGAAGATCATGTTCCTCTATTCTGCATTCTTCATAGCCCTAACCCTGGAGGAGAGTGTCAGCACAGTACAGGACACACTGTGCGGGTCATCTGGATTGCTACGTTAGGCTGGAGCCCCTGCTTATCCCCTGCACAAGCTGGGAAACCCCATCTGCCCTCCTCCCACCAACCTCATCTGCACAGAGAAACTCCAGGCTAACAGGACATTTCCCCCCCCCCCTCTAAATTTCCTGCAACTCACCCATGAGTGCCCACCCTAGCACTCAGCTTTTTTTTTTACCTTATATGGGCACAATCCCAACTGTTAGCTCACGTATCATCACCCTGTGTCCAAGACCCGTAAAGCCCCTTGCTTTAGCCTGGATGTGTGACTTCACCGACCTTCACCTGAGATTGGTGAATCCACCCGAGAGCTGCATCCTAATAAACCTGCCTTTATCTACTTTTAATCTGGTCTATATCTGTGTCGCCAAGGGGGAGAACAAGCCCACTTTCTTCATCTACTGCTGTGACAGCTAGCATCACTAAAGTTTTTTAGAATTTTTTTAAAGAAGAGGGTATTGCCTTCAATTACAAATAATAGCCAAACTTTAATACTTCCTGAGCATGGGACTATCAAAAGGTAAAAAATGTATTTTTAAACGCCTAAGGTTGTGCTCTTGTATTCTAGAACCCCTATAAATGTAGAGCTAGTCGTGGTAGGACAGTTGTGTGACAAAACGTCCACTGTGGAGACTCAACACACACCTCTGATCACCTCAGATAGGGATCCCAGGACAGACAGGAGATAAGACTCACAGACAGCTGCATCACCAAGGCCACCCCAGCATGGGTGACAGCTCACAGCCTTGGGAGCCATAGCACACTCCACAGCTACAGGCAGCTCAACAGGAGAGAGAGAAAGAGAGAAAGAGAGAGAGAGAGAGAGAGAGAGAGAGAGAGAGAGAGAGTTATTGAGACCTGTCCAGGTGCCTGGGTTGGTCTAAACCTCTCCCAGCAAGCAGCTGGTCTGGTCTCAAGTCTTCTTTCTGTCTTTTTCTCCTTTCAACTTTTCTTCTTTCAACTTTCTCCTTTCAACTTTTCAACTTTTCAACTTGGCTTCCTCCTCCTCTGAGAGGGACTCTAAACTTTTATTGCTTACTCTGGCAGTGAATCTGGCAGTGAATCTGCTCAGTTTCAGGGACTTCCTAAACTATTTTGAGTTGTTTACCTTCCTGTTTAAGGAGCTTCCTGCAGGATGGAGTGTTTCAACCTCAGAGGAAACTGTAACAGAACCAGGAAGCACAGCCCAATAGCTAAGGTTTGCTGGCCATTCTAGACAGTCTGGGAGCTTTGGGAAAGAATCAGACACAGGTCTTAAAACGAAAGGTGGTGCCAGGCAGTGGTGGCACACGCCTTTAATCTCAGCACTTGGGAGGCAGAGGGAGGCAGATTTCTGAGTTCAAGGGAGCCTGGTCTACAGAATGAGTTCCAGGACAGCCAGGGCTACACAGAGAAACTCTGTCTCGAAAAAAGAAAAGAAAAAAAAAAAAAAGGTGGGGAGGAAAGGCCCTCATGTTGGCCTTTGGTTGCCGTCCATGTACCTGTATGCATGTGCACAGACATACACATTAACAAGTCCAAGTGCACCACATAAACATTAACAAGAACAAGGACAAATTTGTAGTGTTTAGAAATGAAACACGTCCCATAGCCAGGCTTGTACTTTTGACCCTGATCTTGGGAACAGCACTAAAATTACTGCAGAGGCAAAGGGAGCCGAGGATTCAGGCCAGCATGTCTGAAGACCTCGCTTCATCATCTGAAGGACAGGAACTGAGGCCCATGGTTGTCACATCTCAGAAAACCCCAGGATGAGAATCCTAGTTGTCCTTGCAAGCTGGACTTGTGGCACCCTGACTCTAGCTTCCTGCTCAGCTGCCTTTTCCCACGGTGTGAGCATCCAGGCCTGTGAAGACATGTGGCCCAGGCACACACAAACCCAGCCCAAGCCCTGGTACCCACCACATCCCCATCCATACCAGCAGGTCTTCCTACTAGCCCGGAGCCAAGATTCCAGGTGTGAGTGTTGCTCTCACAGGAGCTTGAGTCCTGGTGGAAAATGCCCAGGGTTTTTGCCCCAGGAAGGAACTCCCTGACTTACAGTGTGGTTAGGTCCCAAGAAACAATGATTTGACTAAAAAGAAGCATGCAGTTTTTGTATCATGAAACCACACAATGCCTAATGTCTGTACCGACAGTAGCCATTATTAGGCTACATTATTAGAGACTACAGCTGGAATTATTACAAAAGATTATTGGCCAATACTGTAAGATACAGATATATCTTATCACAGATAACTAGTGTGTTTACCCTGAATAATCTTCATGTATCATGTGTGTGTAAAATATGTGCTTGGTCATTTATCACTAAAATAAGTCATTCATCTTCAGTAAGAGATGAAAGTCTTTTTTTTTTTTTTTTGGTTTTCCGAGACAGGGTTTCTCTTGTAGCCCTGGCAGTCCTGGAACTCACTCTGTAGAGCAGGCTAGCCTCGAACTCTCGAACTCAGAAATCTGCCTGCCTCTGCCTCCCAAGTGCTGGGATTAAAGGCATGCGACACCACCGCCCGGGGAAAGTCTTATTTAAATATAGTATCTATTTCTCTATGTGTTCCAACATATCAGGACTTAACTGTAGATGGATGCAGTACAAACAGTTAAAAATAAAATATGCCTAGCATTCAGGAGGCCTTGAATTCAATTTCCAGCATAAACTAACTAACTAACTAACTAACTAACCTAACCTAACCAAACAACCAACCAACTAGAAAGCAAAACAGCTCCTCAGGCCTTTTTATTGCCTCTTTCAATTTGGTTAGGCCAGGGAGCTGTCACATATGAACTCACATAATATGTTGTTTTTGCTTCTGGCTTATTTCAGTTCTATGTTTTCAGGGGTTTCTGTTGATGTTATAGGATGCATCAGAGAGAATTTCATTTTAGTACGGCAGGCATTGTTGCTTCCATAGAGTTAAAGGTTTACTGATCTAGCACTTGTGAACAAGTCCTGTAGTTTTTTCATAGTTCTATCAATCTTAGTTTAAAAAAAACACACGTTTTATTATTTGCTAATAGATAAGATAGCACCTTGTATGTAAATGTGTGTGTGCCCACATGCTGGTGCAAGCGTGTGCATACATACAACCTTGAGTATGTAGATCAGAGGACAACTTGCAGGAGTGAATTTTTTCCTTCCACCATTTAGGTTCTAGGGGGCAAACATGGGTCATCAGGTTTAGCAGCAAGTCCTCTTATTTGCTAAGCCGTCCTGTTGGCCATGAACACTTTAACAATGACTGAGCCTATTATAGTTTGTTTGTGTCATTTCATCATTTTAAGGAGGTCAACGTTGTATATTTATACGTACATTAAATATAATAACTATAATCACTCTGTCTCTATACATCACATGCCAGAAAAGACTCTACCTCTGAGACATAACCTTAGCTACTGTATCCATCACAGACATAGCCTCAGCTACTCTGTAGCCATCACAGACATAGCCTCAGCTACTCTGTAACCATCACAGACATAGCCTCAGCTACTCTGTAGCCATCACAGACATAGCCTCAGCTACTCTGTAGCCATCACCTGCCTTATAGGTTCCAAATACTTTTCAGAGCCCACCACTTTGTCCTTAGATTTCATCTACACTCGGCTGTTTTTAATATAACAAACTGTATTCCCCTTGCTTTTTAGTTGAACTCTGGCATAGTTTTTTTCTTTCTTTTTTTGTGTATGGTGGATAAGTCTATAAAATGTAATTGATAAAAATTAAAACCCCAAGCTAATCTCCCAGGCTTTAGAATGGCAGATCTCGCCGTATAGAAGTTCTCTGAGACGCGTAGAATTTGGTAGTAGGAGCGTATTTGAGTGCTTTCTTAAAGAGCTGTGTGATGTCTTCATTTGTTGGTTCATTACGATAAAGTAATAAAAAATAAATAAATGAAAACCAAATAGTTCTGGGAGGGAAACCCTGCTCTATTCCCCCTTCTGTTATGGTAAATTAGTTTTGCTTAAAAGGACATTCTTGATTTCAATATTTTTTATTTTTTTATTTTTTTAAACTATTATTTTTTAAAGATTTATTTATTTATTTTATGTATGAGTACACTGTAGCTGTCTTCATGCACACCAGAAGAGGGCATCAGATCCCATTACAGATGGTTGTGAGCCACCATGTGGTTGCTGGGATTTGAACTCAGGACCTCTGGAAGAGCAGCCAACGTTCTTTTTTTTTGTTTGTTTGTTTTTTGTTTTTGTTTTTTCGAGACAGGGTTTCTCTGTGTAGTCCTGGCTGTCCTGGAACTCACTCTGTAGACCAGGCTGGCCTCGAACTCAGAAATCCGCCTGCCTCTGCCTCCCAAGTGCTGGGATTAAAGGCGTGCGCCACCACCGCCCGGCGCAGCCAACGTTCTTAACCACTGAGGCATCTCACCAGCCCCCATTTCAATATTTTTTTAAAAGAAAAAACCCAGTGTTAATATATTTTTATTGAATTTTAACATATCTTTTAAAAATCTATGTGTGTGTGTCTGTGCCTGTGTAACTATACACTATCACTGCACAGGTGTGTGTGTGTATCTGTCTGTCTGTAGCTATATGCCATGTGTGTGCAGGGGTGTGTGTGTGTGTGTGTGGTGTGTGGGTGTGGGTGTGTGTGACAATATCCCATGTGTGTGCAGGTGTGTGTATGTGGGTCTATAACTATATGCTATGTGTGTATAGGTGTGTGTGGGGGGGGGTCTGTGACTACATACCATGTGTGTGCAGGGGTGTGCATGTCTGTCTGTAACTATACACCATGTGTTATACAGGTATGTGTGTGTGTATGTATGTGTGTGTCTGTGACTATACACCAGGTGTGTGCAGTTGTGTGTATATCTCTGTAACTATACACCATGTGTATGCAGGCCTGTGTGTGTGTGACTATATGCCCTGTGTGTGCAAGTGTGTATGCAAGTATGTGTGTGTGTCTGTATCTGTGACGATACACACTGTGTATGCAGGTGCTCATGGAATCCAGAGAGGTCAATAGGTCCCTGGAGCTAGACTTGCAGGCTGTTGTGTGCCACCTGGCATGAGTGTTGGCAATGGAACTCCTGCCCAACAGTGGCAATTGTCCTTGACCACCAAGTCACCTCTCCATCCCTTTAAGCACCATTTTATCCAAATGGAGTTTATTTTGGCATGAAATAGGAGTTTGGTTTTCCCCACTAATGGACTACTCACGCCTAAAGGAAGGGGTGAGCTTACACTTTTAGTTTTGAAAACAGCAGTGGGACTGAGTGGGCCAAGACACTTGATGGTTGATTTCTATTGCAGTGTCTGTCCAATGCAGTCATGGCACTACAGGCTTTCTGCTGCAAGCACGCACAGTTGCTGTTCACCAGATAGCAGGCATCTTTGTCTTCACTCCATTCTGAACTGATGACTTGTTTTGAAGAGGCAGATACTGCCATTCACTCTGACAACACCCTGAAGAGAATACTTGTTCATATGGAAATCCCCTGCCCAGTCTGTGGGGACACTAGATTCCTGTAAGAGAGCACAATGTGCCCCTCAGTAACTGGGCACACTTAATTTAGAGTGTAGGGTCCCTTTCTCCTCTTACAGATGTCTCTTCTCCCCATGGCTACTGTTAGTATTCTGTCTAAACTCCACCTCCACAGTTATCTGGCAACACCCAGGTATGCTCCTCCCCACAGTTACCTGGCAACAGCCAGGTAGGCGTGCCCACTATAAAAGGGGCTGCTTGCCTCCTCCTCCTCCTCTCTCTCTTACTCTCTTGCCTCTAGCTTCTCCTCACCCTTCCTCCCTTCCCTTCCCCTTCTCTCCACGTGGTCATGGCCAGCCTCCTCTTCTCTCCTCTCTCTCTCCTCTTTCTCCACCATCTTCTCCAGTTTCTCTCCCTACCTTTGCCCTCTGCCCCGAATAAACCCCCTCCCCTATGGAACCGTTTGGTCTGGTGTTGTCTGTTCCAAGCTGCACGCTGAAGTCTAACAGCTACTTTAGAACAGGTGCTGGGTCCCTGTGGCTTCTGTACTGGAGAGCCCAGGCAGAATGGAGCTAGAACAGGACTGTGTTTGCAGCCTCCCTGTGCATGACCACAGTCCTGTAATATGGTCCTCCTGTAAGACTTTTGTGTCTAAATGTAGGATTTTCAGGTCCCAGTTTGAACTGAGATTAAAAGAACTCCACTGTCCCAGGACACATCCTAGGAGGGGCACATTCCTTAGTCAGAAGACACTTGCTGGATTAACATTCAGAGGAGGAAGGGAGAGTCTGATTAACATTCCTCAGACCACAGGGGAGGGAACTTACCTTCGGGTAAGGAGGGCCCAGAGCGTAGATACATTCCAGGAATCAGGAAGCTAAGCACTTAACATAATAAACCTGGGCAAATGTAAGACACTCTTTGTCATAATCTGAGTCACCTAGGGACCAGACACAGAAAAGTCAGACTGTGGTTTGCCCTTGTGGAATAAGTACTGTACCCAGCTCTTGTTCGGGGCTCTTTTGCCTGCATGCAAGAGAGTGCTAGTGAACTAGTTTCATTAAACCAAACCTCATGTAATTGCAGCAAGTCCTGTCCATGTGTGTTTCTGTGGGAGCGTGTCCCCTGGTTTTGGATCTTACAGTCCAACACTCCCTTCCTTCTGGTGCTGACGAATTGAACCTGAGCCCTGAAAAACTGTAAAAGAGAGAATGGAAACCAGAGTGAAGGAGACAGACACACACACAGACAGACAGACAGACAGACACTTCCCTGCCGCAGTCTCAGGGCCATGCTTTCTAAAAGTGGGAAGTATGAGGTGGGTATGGTAGAATTCACCTAGAGTTCCACCTCCTGAGAGGCTAAGGCAGAAGAATCGCTGAGCCCAGGTGTTTGGGGTAGCTGAAAGGTATAGAAAGTTTTTATGACCCCTAGCAGACTGAGCAGAACCAAGAATACAGGTCAGCCAGTTCAAGAGCTCTGGGTTCCAGGAACTTGGCTAACCACAAAGAAGCTGAACTAAGAATGCAGGTCAGCTGGTTCACGAGCTCTGGGTTCCAGGAACATGGCTAACCACAAGGTAGATGATTAAGCAAGATTAAATCCTTGAGAAAAACATGTACAGGATGTTCCCCACATGACTGACTGAATAATGGGCTGGTACTTTCCACTGGTATTCTCCCTCTCCCCCCCAACCCCGGTTTGTGGTTTTCTCCTTTAAAAACTCTGCATTCCCTGAGCTGGGGGTCAAACTCCTCTGCCCCTGCATGGGTTATGTGCCTCAGCCTCAGCACACTGATTCCCGAAATAAACCTCATGCTGGTTGCATCAAGATCAGTCTCTTGTGAGTTTCTGGGTGGCCGTGATCTCCTGTGACTTGAGTGAAGATCACCCCTCTCGGGGGTCTTTCATAGCCAGTGCAACAGCTATGCACTATCTCAAAAGAGGGCTGGGGAGATAGCTCAGCCTACAAAGTACCTACTGTGTTAGAAAGAAGAGCTGAGTTTAGTTCCCAGGGCCCACATTTAAAAACGAGCATGGTAGCCCCCATGTAATCCCAGCACTGAATGGGCGGCTCTATGTAAACAGCAAGGTGGACAGTGCTTCATGAATGACATCCACTCACCTACACACATGTACACACAAGCACACATAGTCACAAATGTGCATCTGTCTACATATGAATGCATACACACAGGTATACACACATTTAAAAAAAACAAATTGGGCATAATAACATCAGCACGTACCTCATGGGGCTTTATCATTCTGAATGTGCCGCATATGTGTAGGGTGACTTAACTCCTCATGATAGCAACCTGCTACTTAGACTATATATAAGTACTGTATAGAGTACACAGTTCTGCATAAGTATTGCTGTTACTCAAAATGAGATATGATTTTATTACGATGTGCATGTGGGGTGTGTGTGTGTGTGTGTGTGTGTGTGTGTGTGAAGGTGAGGACGCATGCCATAGCACCTGTGTGGAGACTGGGTCTTGTTGGAGTCATGAAGTGGAAGGGGTCTTCTCTTTCCACTCTGTGAGTCCTGGGCGTTGGTTCTTTTGAGCTCTGGAATCACAAGTGTAACCGAGCACACCTTGCTTGTGAATGCTTTAATAATGTAGCTGACAGTGTGCAGCAAGGGACTGGTAATAAGTTGAAGAACTGAAGATGAAAACCTTTCAATTGAATCTAAATAATCTAAGAAGAGGCTCTTTTGACAAAATGAAGAATTCTTTGGTGCGGATTTGTTTTTTGTTTGAGAGTAATCCTGTGTAGGTGATCTTCCCTAGATACCTGTGTTTACTGAGGAGGAGTAACGTGGCTAGCTGTACACACTCTCCTGGTAGCTATCAAACGTTCCTATATTAAAGGAGTGAAGTCATCCAAAAGGAAATAAAGTAATCCCTCCAATTCTGTGTACTTAGACTCCTGTCATTCAACATCTAATATGTCCTCTCCGGTATTGGGGTAATCCAGGGTATTCCTTACTAGAAACTCAGTCTATGGGTCCCTGGTTTTGTTTCTGTGGTCTACCAATCACCAAGTCATATTTTGTGTACTGGACCAGAATTGAATTGTCTGTAGTGTCTCAACAGACACACAGTGGAGGCCCCTCTGTCATCCTCTACCACATGCAGCCTAGGTCATGGTGCCTGGGTCACCAGTGCTAATACCTTGCCAGAGGCCAGATGCTGCTGAAGGAACTAGCTCAGGTACTGCTTGCTGGTTGCTCACATGATGCTGGCTGCCAGTACCATTTTAAAGTGCTCTATTTCCACTTGTAGCTTGCTAATGCAGGTTCCTTTCTCCAGGAAACAAGCAAAATGAACCTGCCCTGAGCAACTGCAGCTGCCTCCAGGGACGTGATGGGGGTTGTGGGGGGACCACTTGTGCTTTCAACATTTGTTGTAGCAAACAGGTTTTATTAACTCAATGTACTCAGTGGAGCTGGGCCCCCAGGGTGAGGGCAGTTAGAACTTTGTTTCAGCCTGGGAGACAGCACACACCTTCTTGGGAGAACTCTGTGCTTGCAGGTAGCACAATGTTTCAGTGTTCCCATGGATCTGTGAGTCTAGGGGTACTGCAAATATCGAGCTTCCCCTCCTCCTCCACTTCCTCCTCGTCTTCCTCCCTTTCTTCTCATCCTTTTTCTCCGGCTTCTCCTGTAGAAGTTATGCCTGATGCCCCATGCTGCAAGAAATGACTCAGACTCACAGCATATTTACAAATACCTCGGCGATGTAGCTCGGCTCTTTTTGACTAGAATCATAACTTAAGACATTTATTTTGCCCTACATTCTGCCACTGTCTGGTTACCTGTGTGCAGCTACCATGCCTCTGTCTCTTATATCTTTCCTTTCTGTGCATGGCTCTATCCCAGAATCCTTTCTCCTCCTGCATGTCCCATTTTCTATTTCCTGCCTAAGCCTGTAGTAGAACCAATTTAGGTTTAACCTCAAATAGCTTACAAATAAATGAGACTCAGACTATTTTATTTGGCTTTGACAATTACTGGGGGTAACCCCTAATCTACTCTTCCAACTGCTGGCCTGGCTACCTCTCCCTGTTGTTTCTCCTGGTTACATGCTCATGTTCCATCTGCTTTCATGGTGGCTTCTTCCTCTCCTCTCGTACTTCCTCCTCCTCTTCCTGGTCTCTTCTCTCTTCTCCTCCTTTTCCACTCCCAACCAGGTAACTCAAAACCCACCTACTTCTAAATTCTCCAGGAATTGACTGTAGCTGTTTTTATTTATCCAATAGTTTTAAATCAAGGAACAAGGTTTGCACAACGAAAGCTTGTAACAGTGAGAATTCACTCATAGGCTTAGACTTTCAGACACAAAATGTAGCATTATAATACATAGCAACAAAGCAAACCTCAGCATAAACCATAGGCCATAGACTTTTTAACTGACAGGTGATACATCCATACACTAAATAAAATATTCTCTCTGCATTCTCCTTCTCCTCCTTCCCTCTTCAGCCCCTTTTTCTCCTGTTCTAAAACCCCATGCAGTACATATTTTAGATAGGCCAGCTTCAACATCACTACGTAACTAAAGATGACCTTGGGCTCCTGACGCTCTTGGCTGCATGGCAGATTATCCAATGCTGGAGACTGAACTCAGGGCTTCATGCAGAAGGCTCTTCGCAGCCTAGGCTGGAGAGGAGAATGAGGACTAGGAGAATGTCCCACTGGGAATCCACCTTTGTTTTGCTGACTGGTACAGAATTTTAAGTTTCATTGCCAGTGATCTTACAAAGAAACAAAGAAGCCTAAAACAAACAATCCCAGCCTCCTAACTAAAGTTCTCGCGATGCGGAGCCTTCCCATTATTTATCTTTATGAAACAGCTCTGAGCAAATACGCTCATAACCACCTCAGTGGAGGTCTGAGTGAACAGTGTTCTCCACAGGCTCAAGTGGTTTGGACATGTGGTCCCCAGTTGGTGGCGTTGTTTGAGGTTGTGGAATCTTTAGGAGGTGTGGCCTTACTGAGGAAGTATGCCACTGGGGACTGGCTCTGAGGTTTTATAACCTGGCCTGACTTCCTATTCTGTTTCCTAACTGCCAGCCTGGCCTTAATCTCTTGCAGTCATGCCTTCCCTGTGTCCCCTTGGGAGTTATAAGCCAAAGCAATCTGTTAGGGGTTTTGGTTTGTTTGTTTTGTTTTTTAAGACAGGGTCTTATTGTGTAGCCATGGCTGGCCTAGAACTAATTATGTAAACTAGCATGGCCCTGGACTCACAGAGGTCCTCCTGCCTCTATCTCCAGGGTGCTAGGATTAAAGGTGTGTACTACCACACAGCCCTCTAAGTTGCTATTTGTTGGGGTTTGCTCAGGCTAACAGACCCAGCCACAGATGTAGTCAACAGAGTGGCCAACACTCCTATGCTGTTCTTACCCTGAAACCCTTTTTCTTCTGCTGCTCATCAGCACAGCTCCTAAGCTTTCCCACCAAGACACTCCTAAAAGCAGAGCACAGATTACAGGCTCAGAAAGCTGGCCTAGAGCAAACCCCGCACACCTGGCCCGTCTTTAAAGTGGCATAGCTTATCTGACAAGTTAGGCAAATGGTACATTCCACCTCCCAGCACAGCTAGGTCTGCTTTATTATAGACATCTTGAGAATGAGACTTTAAAAGAAACACCATACTTATGTGTGGGACTCTCACCCCCTTGGACGCCTGCCTGACATAGTGGGAGATGGGTGTTGCCTTGAAGTGTCAGATACCTGCCTGGGTGGCCCACAAGGTGACATGGTGCTGCCCATTGCTCTCTTCTAGTTATTCCCAAGGGTAAGGCTGTGACTTCATGTGTGCATGCGTGTGCTAATGGGTGTGCAAATGAAACAACCCCTTTAATAAGATGTTAGTTGTTAAAATTTATAACTTGTTTAAACTTAGAAAGAGTAGATGAGTTTCTGAAACATACCTGCCAACAGAACCCCCCCAGGACACTTGGGGGGCCTGTCCCTCCTCCTTAGTGATCAACGTTATGTGTCATGCCTTCTCTGACAACCCTCTAACTAGTCTGTTCCTTGAAGGACCTACATGACTTCCAAGGTGCATTTCCAATAGCTCTGGGCAAAACCTTCCTGTGCTTCTCAGCAGACAAGTGCTACCATCCATTCCGGCTTTTGCAGCACAGTGTCTTGTTGTAATTTATAAACAATACACCTGTGTTTCACAGACTTCTGGAGGGTGGGAAGTCCAAGATCAAGTTCAGATCACTTCCTTGTCTGCTGAGGGTCCGATGGTCCCTTCCCCACTTCCTCTCGTGGAAGAAAGAATATGCTCACCTCCTCAGATTTCTCTTTTAAGGGTGCAAATTCCTGGTGGCCCACTTACCCCTTCCTGGCTCCGCCTCTTACTGCATTGCACTGGAGTTAGGTGTCAACAGAAGAGTGGAGGGGTGGGTGTGTTCGCACTACTGCAGCAGCTAGGGTAATTGTTCCTGAGTGTTGTTAATCTTCTCTAACTTTTAAAGTTGGCCGTCCAAGAATTTCTCTTCCTAGACGGTGTTTAGAGACAATTCTAAGTCTGCTCATTTCTGCATCTCTAGACACCACAATAATCCTAGCATGCAGTGGGCCTGTGGGAAGCATCTAAGCAGGCAAGAGGTCAGGCAGGAATTCCAGACTGTCCATTTACTATGTGTCTGGGCTAGGCTGCTGCTTTTCTCAAGTCTCTGAGAGAAGGAAACACTGAGAGAAAAGAGTGTCATGCAATGACCCAAGAAATGTCTACCAACACCGCCTGTGTGAGCGCTGCCTGTCAGCCATTGCCCTTGACCAGCAGAGCCTGCTGCCTCCGTGCCAAGGGCCATGCTTCCCTCCTGCTTCAACATCCCTCATCTGACTCTGCTCCTCAGAATCTACTGTTACTGTTCCCAGCTTGCCTACTTCCACACTTGGTCCCGTAAATTCCATTTTTCCTCTCTCCAACCCGGCCCACTCAGAAAGCCCAGTTCCACATTCCTGACACTGTCCCAACCCCCCTCACCTGAAGTCACCAGCAATCCAAGCCCCACCTCCTCCACACCTCACCCCAGCTCTTCCACCTCTCTGCACATGCCCAGTATGGTGCACACACATTATTTTCCTTCACCTACAGTCTATAAAAAGCTTCCATGCTAGCCTCTGCCTGCGATTTTATCTGGTCTCATCCCTTGAGGCTGAGGAACTCACCTGGGAGCCCATTTCCAAGTAAACCTGCCTTTTTTACTTTTAACTCAGCTGAACTGGCTTATTTCTTCAGTGGAGAAAACTTATCAATGATCAGGGCTGGGGAGATGGCTGAGCAGTTGAATATGGATGCTCTTGCAGAGGACTAGAGTTTGTCAGCACCCACAACCACTTGTAACTTGTTTCCACGGGACTCAATGCCTCGGGCCTCAGCAGGCACCTGAACTCATGTATGTATTACACAGTCATGTATGAAGCACTCTTACACACATACATGTACTTAAGTAAAAGATGTCTTTTAAAAATAAAGCGAAGAAGGCCGGGCGGTGGTGGCGCACGCCTTTAATCCCAGCACTTGGGAGGCAGAGGCAGGTGGATTTCTGAGTTCGAGGCCAGCCTGGTCTACAGAGTGAGTTCCAGGACAGCCAGGGCTACACAGAGAAACCCTGTCTCGAAAAACCAAAAAAAAAAAAAAAAAAAAAAAATAAAGTGAAGAAGCCGGGCAGTGGTGGCACACGCCTTTAATCCCAGCACTTGGGAGGCAGAAGCAGCCAAGATTTCTGAGTTCAAGGCCAGCCTGGTCTACAGAGTGAGTTCCAGGACAGCCATGGCTACACAGAGAAACCCTGTCTTGGAAAACCAAAAATAAATAAATTAATTAAATAAATCGAAGAAAAGAAGCTATTTGGTAAGGACACTTGCTCAGAGTCAGGAATGGCTGAGTGGAACTTGAGTCCAGACAGTAATCTCTCTGCAGTGTGTCCTTGCTCACCCACTCGCTACTCCTGTGCTGTGGGTCCTCACATTTGAGAGGGTGCCCAGTAACTTTCCATTTGCCCAACAACGTTAACTAGATGCCAGTGGGAAATCAGATGGTAGAAGGACAATGATTTTGTCTCTACTCAAGGGAGATGCTGAAGTCATTGTTCTCACGGGGAAAACTTAGTGTTAATATCACAGCAGAAAGTTCTAGGGCTTTTTAAAAATTCTGATTTTCAGGGTTCTACTTCTAATTTTAGAAGCAGGTTTTGGCAGAGATGAAAAAATATATATGTTGTGGATAGCCCTGGTGCTGTTCGCATTTTGATGCTAGTTCAGCTTCCCCAAGAGGGGCTGCCTGGGATGAGGAGTGAATCATACTCAGGACTTCATGAGACCCTTGTAGTGAATGAAGAAAGTAATCACTGGGCAAGTAGGCAGGCCTTCTGGGTCAGATAGAAGGATGGCAGAAGAGGAGAGTGGGCTAGAGGATGGGAGGATGGAGGTGAAAATGTAGGTACCAGAGAACTTGTTTCAGGTGGTGGATTTGTTTGGATCCACTACCGGAGAATTTAACTAAGAATGCCTTATAAATTAGAATGTTAGTTGTTGCACCCAGCAATTGAGTTACCTGTTGATTCTGAACTAAGATTGTGTGGTGTTTTCATTCATGCGGCAACTCAACTGGGTTCCAGAAAGAAAGATACAGCGGCGGCAAAGCATGGGTTTGCAAGAAGTGCACCCTGAAAGGCTATGGGAATTTGGAAGTGTGAGCCTGGCTTGGCAGTGACCAGCCATGGGAACTTAGCACCCAGATGGAGAGAATTCAGAACTTCGGGTCAGAGAACCTCAAGATGGGTGGTCTCTGCATGGGCTAGCCATGGAGGCAGCGAGACCACCAGGGCCAGAGAGTAGCTAGAAATAGACTGGGATGGGGCTGTTTTTTAGTATTTCCCACTACATATATAGGGAATTGTGAGGATCTGAGGAAGTCATAAGTCAATATGTATTGTTAGACATGGACACAGCCAGCCATGTCAAGGACCCATAGTGCCTCAGATCCATGGGAATGTATACTGTTAGACATGGGCATGTTACGCCCAAGTCATAGGGACCCCAAGACCACTGAGGAACCAACTCCAAGGCAAACACACAAGGGTGTGTTTATTACAAGCTTGAAAGCAAGGACTCTCACCATCGCAGTGGGTCAGAAGTGAGAGCCTCGAGTTTAGAGGTGCGGGGTATCTATTGTGTATTGTGGTTACAGCAAACTTGGAAGTTCTATACAGGTCAGCAAATTAATATTTTTAAAACTGCATTTCTGGTGTAATCTGCAGGAACGAAACATGGGGGCAAAACCACCTGACAAGCAGGATGGATAGGTTGTACATTCTCTGCAGGATGTCTTAGGTTATCTTCATGTACCTTGACCCTGCTGCTGTAGCCTGACTGGCTGTTGCTAAGAGGGAGTTGCCATAGGACACTTGCTCAAGTGGAATTTGTGGTTTTCTTCCTGGAATCAAAAATGGAGTTGGTTGGGTTTTATAGGGACAGCCATGTTGAGGACCCATAGTGCCTCAGATCCATGGGAATGGCAAAGCCTTCCCCAGCTGAGGCTCTGAGGGATGAAACCCCTTCCTCTGTTGGAATGTGACTCTTGATAGTGTTGTGCAAGTACGGATGCTCATGGAGTACTGAGCAATGTGTGCAAACCCAGCATCACAGCATCCTTCTCCCTGGTGCCTACAGAAGTTCTCACCTGTGCTGTGCAGAATACAAGTTCCGAGGTTGGTGCCATCAGAGGGGGCACAGCCCACCTGACCTCAGCTTTTCTGTCCATGCGTTGATGCGTCTGTTCTTTATCACCTTACTGCTCAGTCAGATTGCCAAATCTGACAGTGAGGATCATGGTAAGCAATGGCACAGTGGTCCTTAATATTCCCTGCACAGCGGTTATTAAAAATGCACAAGTTTAAAAAGGCAAGAGATTCCTCTTTAAAAAGATTGAAGAAATAGGTACTTTGGAGTCTTGTCAGGGACTTAATTTACTGTGCTAATTGTTTGAATGTTGACACTTCTTAGAGACTCTCATTTGTGATCATCCTGAAAGCATATTAGCCTCTTACTGTTATCATAGTTGAGTGTATCAACCAATACAGGATGAAATACCCTCTCTGTCTTTTCGAGGTGTCTTCAGGTCTCTGATTCTCAGTGCCTGTTTATCTTTAATACAGAACTTATAAGAAGTCTTTGCTTTTTTCCTTACATGAGATATAGATGAGGGTTGAGGTTTTGTCTTTTACTGTCTATTATAATACTAAGTGTGGGCTCCCAAGACCTGGAGTCTTCACGCAGTCCCTGTGACCCTGCTCCAGGGTATTTCTGATTGGTAAATAAAGATGCCAACAGCTCATTCCTGGGCAGCAGAGACATAAGTAAGCTTTAGGTTTTACAGGCTTGAAATTAGAGGAGAATCACGAAGGAAGAAGAAGAAGGCAGGAGGAGGAAGGAGAAGCTGCCATGGGTTGAGTAAATCATAAAAACACAGCTCTGAGGGCTGGCCTATTGGAGTTAAGAGCAGCCCAGATGGAACACAGTAAATAGTAAATAATAATACAGGGTTATCGATAGGAAAGTACATTCTAACAGCATGGAGAGAGGCAGCTGCCCAGCTGTTGTGCTATTTAGGGCTTATTGTAAATATAAAGGTTGTGTGTATTTTTATCTGGGAATTCAATAACCAAAGGTGGGGTAGAAACCCTGGGCAGGGATTAAAGTAATTTCTACAACAGATGTGAACATCCTAGACACTGCTTGTTTCAATATTAGAGTGACAAAGTTATTGTAGGATACAGAGCCTTTCTTAGTCACCTTCACACACAGCAATGGCCAGCAACTCAGTGGAGAGATCGACCCAAGCCTACAACCATCCCTGGATGTCTATAAGTTGGAGATACTCGTGACTCTCAGAAAAGGTGCCCTAGACAGTGTTGTTTCCATCCCGAGCACCCACCATGGGTAATAGCTCATGGGGTAGTCCACTGAGTTGGGCTAACCACTTAGCTGTTTGAGAGTCTAACAGAAAAAAGAAGATGATGGCCAAATTTATCGTCAGGTGTGTGATGTATCTTCATAGAAACAGAACTGCTGGCTAGAAGAGCTAGGTATGATAATAACCCAGAGAAGCTGAACCCTGAGATGTGTGTAATAGGTATACTATACTTTTAGTATCTGAAATATGCTTTTAATGTAAAGTGCCAATGTATAGCTTTGTATTAAGTACTAAACAAATGGTAGTACTCATGAGTTCTTTGTTTTCTCACACCTTTCCCCCAATTCTCCTTTTTGGCATGTGTGTCCAAACTCAGGATTCCAGAGAAATCTGGTTTCATCAAGACACACAGAAGCAATAGAAAAGATAGCTTTTTGTTTCAGATTCTTTATGACCTGTTACAACTTTTTTTTTTTTTTTGGTTTTTCGAGACAGGGTTTCTCTGTATAGCCCTGGCTGTCCTGGAACTCACTCTGTAGACCAGGCTGGCCTCGAACTCAGAAATCCGCCTGCCTCTGCCTCCCAAGTGCTGGGATTAAAGGCGTGCGCCACCACCGCCCGGCGTCTGTTACAACTTTTTAATTCCCTTCCCTGCCTCTGGGACTCAGAACAGTCTGAGTTTTGGTTCTTTGGAAACCTGCCTGTCCTCAAATAAGGGTTAGCAGTTAAGAGTGTGGATGGGGGGAGGTGAGACTTGGTATTTTAGCCCCAGAGTGGGAAGTGTCCAGCTGGGAAGGAGTTAGTGGATAAGCAGCCAAAGCCAGAGAGAAAGTAGTGTATGATGCACAGTGTCCTTGTCCTAATCAATACCAGCCTTTCCAGTCTATGCAGTGTCTCTAGAGTTATTGGAAATTGTAGGAGATTGATGGTTTTAGTGATTTGTTTTCCCATTTAGCTTTGCTTAATAATTTCTCTTTCCTCTTTAGTCCATCTTTATAAAACTAGCCTCAAAACACTGTTGTACCAGTCTCATCAAATCAATGGGCAATATAAAACACATCCCGAAGATTTGCTTTCCCCTTGACATCACAGAAGATACACCAAATAAAACATGGTATAGTATTCTCACTTAAAGTTATTGGAATCTACAGTAAGAATAAATGTTCCCCACTGCTGTGGTCTACCATTAACATGCATCTTCAATGTTCTCACCAGGAATGAAATAATCCTTTGTCTGGATTTGGGAGCTCCTTAAATGACCCCAAACTTGTTCATGGTAGAAGCCTTATGTTCTAGTGGGGTTTCCGTTAGCTACCCATCCCTGTCAGTGACAGACATGTACTTATCTATTTAGGTCTTCTGTCTTATCTGGTTCTTCTAAAGGAAGCAGGAGGCAAGCTTTTCAACTGTTGCTTGGAATTCTCCGTGGAATACAAGTGAGCTGCAAACCTAGTTGCAAACTGGGTGAAGATCCACTCCTTTGACATCATTTTTCTTTCACGGGACAAGATGACAGCCTCTAATAGTTCTGTGATGGGCCCTGCTCCGTACACTGCTCATATTCCCAAGCCTCAGCAGGTCTGGTCTCACTGAGAATAGTGCTGAATCAGCCACTCCAAGCCCTGGCTTCTGTACCTCGGGCACATCTAGGAGCCAGTCAGACCCCTCAAGGGCCTCTGGTTGCTCTTTATTTGAGACACAGCACAGGGAGTAGAGTGTGAAGGAGGTAGTATGGGATACCTTAACAAGACCGACCTAAGGCCTGAAGTGAAGCTAGAGGAATCAGTGCCCCTTTGGTGATGCAGCTCAGGGCTCCACAGCCGGGAATCCTGATTTGCCTGTCAGCCACCCTGGGTATGGCCCTGGCTTCTGGACTTTGCTATCTGTATCCTCAGTATGGCCACAGTGGACAGAAAGGGTCCTTCAGTGAACCTGCTGCAGGCGCTCTTGCCAGGAGTGACAATGGGAAGGCAGTTTATGTCAGGAAGACAAGAATCCCTCTGTAGGGGACAAGAACCTTGTTCTCTGAAGGGACCCTTGGACTGGGACCCTTGGTGGCTCCACAGAGTGTCTTAGTCAAAAAACGAGCTAATGAGAATTCCTGATGAGGCCGAGGCCCCACTGTGCCTGCTGTCAGTGTGTAGAGAGCTCAGGAAGCAGCAAAAGGGCAGATTTATCAACAGAGGGAATTCTTCTCCAGCTTTGTTGTCTTAATGTCTGTAATTTTGCTTCTTTTTTTCCTTCTTGCAATTAGACGTTCTGTTTGAAGAGTTAAACTTGACACAATGAATATTGTATAACCTGCTCATTAGCTAGACTCCTGTGGCCGTAACGCTTCCTCTGTTGCCTTAAGGATCCTGCGGAAAGAGGCATTCTGTCCTCCATAGTGTCTGAGCCTTGTCTTCGCTAACCCTTTGAAAAAAGTCGGGTTGTGGTTTAGCTCTTGCAAGAAAGAAAGATCCGCACTTCTCCCTGAGTCTCTTGTAAACCACCCAAAACGGAGTTTTCTTTTCAAAGCTGGAGTTCCAGAACTAGTCGGAGGGGTGACTTGGTGAGGCAGGTGTAGGTGAGGGCAGTCTGTCTGTCTGCAAGCACAGGATCCTGGGTCAATCACTGTGGGGCACATCCAGAGCAAGCAGTTTTAGGGAGCTTGCTGGAACACAGCCTGGGAGATGTACCTGTGCAGTACAAGCCCACAAGCCCAGAGTGGAACAAGCAAGCCTTTCCATCGGATGCACCGGATGTGGGACTTCCCAGCCTTTACACTGATGAAGGACTTGAGTTTTCCAGCAGCTGCCACATTTCTACTGCCATGGCTTCTGCTCTGCCCTCCCTGCTATGTGGCCTGAAATTCCTCCACATTGTGAACCAAAATAAATCTTACTGCCCATGAGTTCTGTTTGCTAGGTGTTCAGTCCCAGCAACAGGAAGAGTCGTTCACAGATAAGCTTAGGCAGTCCGCCCAGAACACTAGGTCACTAAAGTATCCTTCCAGTATTAGCAGAATGTGTGCAGCACTTAGCTATTTACCTGTAAACGGCTCACTAACCCGGTATGCCTTGGTTCTCAGTGGCAGCCTACAGCAGACACTGTCTCTACAGGTACTCCATTCTTTGGTCACATGTGCAATACGTCATTTCTTTTCCACTACTGCTCCTTAACTGCTCCATCATTATTATGGGATTAATGAGAGATCTTGCTGGGAAAGTGCTCATCTCCACGAGCAGAGGAACCTGAGTGTGATCCCCAGGACCCATGAAGACGCAGCTGATATGTGTGCTGTGCTCTCTTGTAATCCCTGTACCAGGGAGGTGGACCACTGGGGGTTTCTGGCCAACACACCAGGTCCAGTTGATATGCTCCAAGCCATTTGAGAGACAAGGTCTCTCAGTGACATTCCTGAGGATGACACCTGAGAATTTCCTCCGGCCGCCACAGGTCCCTGTTATACATACGTGTGTGTTGTGTGTGCGTGCTCATACACAGAGGAACATGCACATTAACAAGATTCGTTCATGTAAAGCGGTGTTTTCCACAGACCCACACTCACCACTTGCCACTTGAGGCCATCCTGCCGCTCTAATCTTCGTGGTAGTCAGTGGCTGCAACTCTTGCCACGGAGCAGACGTTCTTGCTGATGCATTTCAACGAGGCTCTCTTTTGAGAAGGGCAGCTGGCATCCATAGCCTGTAGAACATCAGGGAGCCCTTTGGTCCTGTGATTTTGAAGGTCCTCTAATTTTGGCTCAGAGAAACCCTTGAGGGGAGGGAGTAGGAAGCGCGAACTTAGTCTGAAGGCCGTTACCAAAGCACAAAGCCATTAAAAGACTCAAAATGCAACATCTTAAAATAGCCTTTTTTTCCCCTTGTAAGAACAGCTACAGAATTGTTCAGCCAACATTTTCTTGGAAGAAAGAAGGTTTGGGGCTAAACTCACATTTAAGGAAGAATATTGGAATGCCAGTTGCTGAAAACTATTTTAAGCAAATGCTTTTATATCTATTGTGCTGATTTAATGTCCACAGCTCAGGGGGGAGAGTGGGCCTGACTTTTTTTTTTTTAATCAATCAGAAGCTATTTCCGACATTTCTAATTACTTGTGCTTTGTGGAGACAGTTTTGGTAAATTGTTGCATGTACTCTGTAGCTTTCGTGATCTGTGCTTCTGTTGAGGCTGGCTCCATTATTTGCTGTTTTAAAGTTTGTTTCTATTTTAAAAATTAATTAATTGAACAAACAGGTCATCAAGCTATAACTACTTAAACAAGTGCCACAGTTATTTCAAAGTTGTCTGGGGTGGGCTGGCGATTTATGGCTGCCTGGACTGCTTGGTATTAACCATATTTTCTGGAATGTACAATGTTTTGATGTTACATCCCAGCTTTTCCCTGTCCTGCAAGTGGTGCATCCTGGGAATCTTTTATCCAAGTGGAGAGCATGAAACCCTAGAACTCTGCTCTTCTTAAGATGATCCTGCTCTGCCTGGTGACCGGGGCTGCAGTGTCTGCAATAGCCCCTCCCTGTGTCAGGGCTATCTTCATGATACACAGAGTTTAGTGTTTGAGTACTTTGGTTATTCCGTGCTTGTATGCATGTGTATGTGCTTGTGTGTGTGTACATGATGTGTGTATGTATGCATATGTGTTGTGTGTGCATGTGTGTATGGGATGTGTACATGTATATGCAAATGTGTTTGTGTGGTATGTGGGTGTGCATATGTATAGTGTGTGTGCAAACACATGTATGTGGAGGCCAGAGAACAACTTCCAGTGTCATCACTTTTTTTTGAGAATGTCTCTCAGTGGCCTGGAGCTTGCTGACTAGGCTAGTCTGGTGGCCACTCGGCACCAGGGCTCCTCCTACCCGTGCCTCCCCAGTGGTAGGATTAAACATGTGCGCCACGACACTTAGCTTTGTGTATAGGTGCTGGGGACTGAACTCTGGCCCTTGTGTTTGCATCTCCTCAGACTCTGGTTGTCTGGTTTTCTAAATGCAAAAGAGAATGTTAAACATTAAAACAACAACAACAACAACACCCCCTCCCTTCTATGAACAGTGATGCAGATTCCAGGAAAACTCACATTAAATGTCATGAATGTCACTGTCTTTGACATCGATAGTGGATTTCCATCTCTCTCAGGATAGTATGTGAACATCTTATGGGGTTAAACAGGTTCTTGTCTGTTGTTGATTTACACACATTCCCAGAGCAGCCGTGATACCCTGAGGGCCTCATACCTCCGTTCCTCTCTCTTACTTTTGAATCCTTGTCTGGAATTTTATTTTCCAAACCCCAAACCCTCAGAACCTTGTTGTTACGCTGCCTTGTTAGTGACTCCCTTTGTCCACAGCTCCTTCTCTTGTGTATTTGGCTGTGAGCCTAGCCTTTAACAGCTGAGCCATCTCCCCAGCCCCACGGCGATTTCTCAACTCCTCAGCCTCTGTCCCACTGTAGGACAGTCCCAGCCCTGATTTCTACCCAAGTGTGTTCGTAGCACACCACAGGCCAGAGCTTCCCGGAGGTGAGGCCTTTTTGGTTCACTGTTCCATCCCAGTACACAGCTCCTACTGCATTCCCTAATACACAGTTTAATGAGTGGATATGCTCACCATCTGTACTGTTAGAAAGAACTCTTGGTATGCACGGACTTTGAATATCATGTACCTTGGGCAGCTCTGGGATGCTTGGCAACAGGACTGGAAGTTTTCCTTCACCAACATGAGTTAAAGATCTGTGGGCAGCTGTCTCCAGGGCAGGAGATAAGCTTGTGTCTCAGACCAAGGCTCTAGGGAGTACTTGTCGGTTTGTGAACTTAGACCTCACCTCCAGTCTGAGCTGGGGCAGGAAGAAAGCTGAAGGGCATCTCCCAGGAACACAAACTCACCTGGAAATGTGGTTTTTGTTTGTTTTCTTTTCAGTCTATAGTCTGCCATGGGGTTTTTCAACCTTTATGCTATTAACAGTTGAGGACTGGAAGCTAATTGAAATGGGGGAGGGGGATGTCCCGATGTTGTAGGATGTTCAGCAACTTGCCTGGTCTAGAAACCTGGTCTCAGCCTCACAGTTGCCAGTAGCTTCTTCTTTCCACTTTGAAACAACTAAAAACGTCCTGTGTTTTGCCAGATATGCACTGGATAGTAAGGGGACTGTTATTCTCTCTCATTCCCTCCCCCTCCCCTGCCCCCATGTGTAATATAATTGTAGGATCTAAAATGAAGCTGCATTTTCTAATCATCCTCACCCTCATGGAAATGGTGGAAAGGTTTGGACAGAGAATTTTAAGATTCAAAACTTTATAATCAGGCCAGGCATGGTGGTGTGTGTCTGTAATCCTTGCACTTGGGAATTAGAGGTCAGAGGTAGGCAAGTCTGTGTGAGAGAGCAACCTGGGCTACAGAGGGAGTTGTATATAGGCCAGTAATACATTTATAAAGAAGGGATTATTTTTCTTGGTAGATTTTTCAAAATCTTCTTCTCCAGTTCTCAAACTCAAACTTGTTCTGTGGCTAAGGATGGCTTTGAACCTAATCCTCATCCCCCTGCCTCTACCTGTAGAGTACTGAGGTTACAGGCAGGTGCCACCGTGCCTAGTTTGTGCCATGCTAGGGATCAAACCTAGGGTTTTGTGTGCGCTGGATCACATCCCCAGTTCTGATACTTTACTTTTTAAAAACAACCCAGTAAGATGATAAAAGCTGCTAACTTCTACTTCTTCTCCTTCCCTGATCTTTCCTTCTCTTTGCCTCGAGGCCCCGAAGAGTAAGGCTCCAGCAAGCACAAGAAGAATGAGTACCTCTTTATAGATGGGAACAAGGCCACAGAGCCTGGGAGCGGAGTTCTCTTCCTCCATCTTCCCTGATCCCCAGACCCACACACTTGGTGGCTCATTTGTTTTAGCGAGTCTCTTGGATGCTGCAAATATTCCTGAGACTCTGGAGAGAGTCTGGAATGGAGTAGAAGTGTGTGCTGGTGTGACTTGCCTACAGCCACTGCTGTTGGACCCAAAC